TGTGTGTGTGGATGGTGCACTCATCACAAAGGCACAAATGATATAAAAGCCTATGGACATTATTTCATTCAAATGATGTTGTACATGTGTGTGTTGTGAAGGTCACAGACACACAGATGCTGTTTGAACTCAGAAAATGAACTGGTTTTCAGTGGGTTTTGTCTGTTCTCTTCTTCATCACATCTGTCTCTTCATTCCCTCGTCTCTCGCTCTCTGTCAAACTGCAAACACGACGGCCTGAATTTGAATGAGTTTCTTGTTCAGATACATGTGGAGAGTTCTGGTACAAATGTACTTTAACGCACAGAGGAACTTAAACTCCACACATAGTACTGCACATCGGGAGGACGTCTCACAACTTTATTCCCCGAGGCTCCAGAGTCTGCACTCCTCTCTACCCGCAGAGCGACTGGAAGAAGAGGGAGTCGTGTCTTTCCTCTCGCTCCTCGCAGATCAGAAGCGGAAAAGTTCATCGTCCCAAATCAAACTGTGTGGGTGTGGGTGTGCGCTGTGGCTCCTCTCGATTAGATAATAAAAAAACAGCAAATCTTTGGCACATTTTCTGTGATGTCGTTGCTCCATTGCTCCTCAGGCCTGAGTTTAGCTTTGGTCAGACTCAGGCTTATTTCTGTCATCGAACGAGTTGAGGTTTAAACTAAAAGTGGATCTAGATTCAGCTCAGGATTTCAGGATAAATCTGGATTTGATGGAACACTCCCTGGAGTTGTTTTGTTTTATTCACACATGTTTAACACACAAACCACACATTTATGACAACTACTGTTTTGTTTTTATTATTTACTTATTTATTGATATTTTGAAAAATTTTTAGCTTTACACATTTTAAAGGTGCACTGTGTAACTTTTTTTTATCCATTTAGAATGTATTGCATTGCCTGAAATGTTCCACAGTATTGCATTAAACCCACATGACTTACATTTATTGAGTTATTTGGATGGATTTTATTGTCTTGAAAACAAAAATAAAAAAATAATAATAAAAGAGAGCAGGGTCATTTATCCACAGATCTTGACTGTAACTCACCTTCTTAACTCCATGGAGACAGATGTTAAATGCCACACTGTGGGACATTTCAGCAACAGCTTTTCCATGGAGACAAGCGGACGACCTTACACCAAAAAGTTACACAGTGCTGCTTTGTTTTTGTGTCTGATTTAGTCTCTGTGTCTGGTTGAATTTATTTTGAAGAGAAATGTTCTGTACATCCTAAAAACTGCTAAATAAGAAATAAAAGCACTTGTAGTAAGCATTTCTCCTTCCCTCTTTCCTTCTCCCTCTTTCTCCTCCTCAGCACTCCCTCTCTTCTTTCTTTCTCTCTCCCTCCTTCCTTCTATCCTTCTTCTCCTCTCCTTTCCCTCGCTGTTTCTTCTTTTCTTTTCCTCTCCGTCTACTCTCTTCCCTCTCGTTTCATCTCTCCCTTTCTCTCTCTTTCACCCCTCCCTTTCTTTCCCTCTCTCTCTTTCTTCCTTCTCTCCTTTCTCTCTTTACCATCTCTCTTCTCTCTCCTCCCGCTCTTTCTACCGTCATCTCTTTCTCTCACTCCTCCCCCTCTCTTTTTTTCCTTCTCCCCTTCTACTCTCTCCGTCTCGTTTCATCTCTCCTTTTCTCTCCTCCTTGTATCATTCTCTCTCTCTTCCTCACCCCTCCCAATTCTTCTCCCCACTCTCTCTCTCTCTTTCATCTCCCCTTTCTCTCCTTAACCTCCCGCCCTCTTCTCTTCTTTCTCTCTACGTTCCCTCTCTTTCTTCTGTGTTCTCTTTCTCTCTTTCTTTCCCTCTCTGCTCCCCTCCATTTCTCTCTCTCTTTCTCTCCTTATTTATTTCTCTCTCACTCCTCATCCCCTTTCTTCCTTCCCCCCTTTCTCTCACTCACTCTCTCTCTCTACCCCTCTTCTCCCCTTCTACTCTCTCCCCCCGATTTATCTCTACTTTTCTCTCCTCCTTGTATCTTTCTCTTGTTCTCTCTCTTTTCCTCAACCCTCCCTGTCTTTCCGCCTCTTTCTGTCTCCTCCTTCTCCGTCCTCTCTCTCTCTACTCCCTCTACTTTCCCCGTCTTTTTTCTATCTTCTTTCTCTCTCTCCTCTTCTCTTCTCAATTTCTCTCTCCCTTTTTCTCCTTATTTCTCTCATTCCTCCTCCCCTCTCTTTCTTCCTTCTCCCCTCTCTCTCACTCACTCCCTCTCTCCTCTCTGTCCCCCTCAATTTATCTCTCCCTTTCTCTCCTTGTATCATTCTCTATTTCTTTCGTCTCCCCTTTCTCTCTCTCCTCCTTCTCCCTCTTCTTTCTCCCTCTCTCACCCCCACTCCCTGCCTTCCTCTTCTCTCTCTCCCTCTTCATTCTTTCACTCCTCCTTATTTCTTTCTCTCACTCCTCCTTCCCTCTCTTCCTCACCCCTCCCTTTCTTTCTTTCTCCCTCTCTCTCTCGTCTCCCCATTCTCTCCTAAACCTCCCTGACCTCTTCTCTCACTCCTCCCTTTTCTTCCATCTTCTCTTCTTTCTCTCTCTATGTTCCCTCGCTATTTCTTCCATCTTCTCTTTCCTCCCCTTCTTTCCTTCTGTCCTCTCCTTCCCCTCCATTTCTCTCTCCTTTTTCTTCTCATTTATTTCTCTCACTCCTCCTTCCTTCTGTTTCTTCCTTCTCCCCTTTCTCTCCCTCACTCCTCTCTCTATTCCCTCTTCTCCCCTTCTCTTCTCTCCCCCTCTCTCTCTTTCTCCCTCTACTTTCCCTGTCTTTTTTCCATCTTCTTTCTCTCTCTCCTCTTCTCTTCCTCCCTCTCCTCTCTCTTCTCCTCAGTTTCTCTCTCACTTTTTCCTCCTCATTTATTCCTATCATTCCTCCTCCCCTCTCTTTCTTTCTTCTCCTCTCTCTCACTCCCTCCCTCTCTCCTCTCACTATCCCCCCTTCTACTCTCTCCCCCTTTCTCTTCTTCTTTCTCTCTCTATGTTCCCCCGCTGTTTCTTCCATCTTCTCTTTCTCTCTCTTTCCTCCCCTTCCTTCTCTCCTCTCCTTTCCCCTCTATTGCTCTCTCTCCTCTCTCTTCTCCTCTTCTCCTCTCTCCCTCTCGATTTATCTCTACCATTCTCTCCTTGTATCATTCTCTCTCTCTCTCTCTCTCTCTCCATCTACTTTCCCTCTCTCGTTCCCTCTCTTTCCTCTCTCTCCTTCTCTTCCTCTCTCACCCCCTCACTTTCTCTCCTCCTTCTTTATTTCTCTCACTCCTCCTCCCCCCTCTTTCTTCCTTCTCCCCTTTCTCTCACTCCCTCTCCTCTCTCTATTTCCATTTCTCCCCTTCTACTCTCTCCCCCTCGATTTATCTCTCCCTTTCTCTCCTTGTATCATTCTCTCTTTCTCTCTCTCTCCTCCTTCTCCCTCCTCTTTCTCTTTCTCCCTCTCTTCCCTTCTCTCCCTCGCTCACCCCCCACTCCCTGCTTTCCTCTGCTCTCTCTCCCCCTTCATTTCTCTCTCTTTCGCTCCTCCTTATATCTTTCTCTCACTCCTCCTTCCCTCTCTTTCTTACTTCTCCCCTTTTTCTCCCTCCAATCTTCCCTCTCTCCTCTCTCTTCCCCTCTCCCTTCCTCCCTCTACTTTCCCTCTCTCTGTCTTTCTTCTCCCCTCTCTCACTCCCTCTCCATCCGTCCCTCTCTCCTCTCTGTTTCTCCTTCTGTCCTATCTCTCCATCCCTCTCTCCCCTTTCTTCTCTCTCCCCTTCTCTCCCCTTCTCTCCCTCCCTCTCTCACCCCCCACTCCCTGCCTTTCTCTTCTCTCTCTCCCTCTTCATTTCTCTCTCCCCCTCTCCCTTCCTCGCTCTACTTTCCCTCTCTCTGTCCTCTCTCCTCTTCTTCTCTCTCCACTTTCTTTCTTCCTCCGTCCCTCTCTCCTCTCTATTTCTCCCTCTCTCCATCCCTCCCTCCCTCTCCCTCCTCCTCCTCCTCCTCCGCCCCCTCCCTCGTTCCAGACCTGTCAGTGTTAGTGATGGATGGCGTGAGAGGTACAGACAGGAGGAGATGAAGCAGATCCTCTTCTCTTCTGTCTCACTGCTCCAGGTCCAGACCCCAACACCTGCCGCTGTCTCCAGTCGCCGCTCCGGCCTCCAGTCGCCCGCTGGGAAAAGAAGGAAAGAGCCGGAAGAGCCGGAAGAGCCGCGTTACTCCTTTACTCGTCTGGTGTCGCCTCGTTTCTTCATCACAAACAGACCTGGAGTTGTGTTTGTGTTTTGTTTCATTTACACGTTTAACACACAAACCTGCACATTTAGGCTGAGCTCTTCTCACAAACTGAAAAAAAACAAAAAACAAAAAAACTCCACCTTGTGATGTCATGTAGTGATACAAGAAGTGCTCCACTGTGTTTTTAAACTCCATCCACACCTTAAACACCTTCACTAGGATCATTTGGATAATTTTCATCTCTAAACAACTCAACAAAACGTAAAAGTTTGTTCAGGTTTGGTCACTTCATGACAGATCCTCATCATTTGGTCCAACACAGTGAAGAAGGTGAATATGGACGAGCCTCATGTGAAGCTCAAAACCTCCAGGACGTCACTGAGCCGCACAAGCTGCACGAGCACTGATTCAGGACTGACAACATGATTTCAGCAAAACTGGCAACCCAAATGTACTCAATTATAACATGTAGACATCATGTTCAGTGTTTTTGTAACTAAAATCCACCACACACACGATGTTCTGAAACAAATTTGAAACATGCGAAAACCACAGACACGAGTTTCTAAATCTCTGAGCTCAAAGACTCCTGCGGGATACGGCTGCGGACACTGTTGGGGAAGTTACTTTAAATAAAAGTAGTGTTTACTCATTACTCATTACTACTTAAAAAAGTAATCCCTTACTATACTTTTTGGTGGTGAACTCCCTCTAAGCCTAAATACCGGCATGAGGCCAATAAAACTGTAAGGGAAAGTTGAAAAGAACTTAGAAGAGAGAGTTCAAGAGGAAGTGAAACTGTTAAGAGGTACATGGGTGTGGTCAGTCTGTCCGGGGGATTCAACGCAGGGGGCAAGGGTCGGCCGCTCGGTGCACAAAGATCCCCTCGAGGGACATCTCCCCGGGTGTCGCCGACCCCCGCCGAGCGCACTTCCTCTGAGGCGGCTCTGGATCGTCCAGGAAAGACTCAAGGTGAAGGTGGCACGATGCTCTAGTTCAGCTCCTCAGATGAACTGTCCTAAGTGCGTCTGTTTCACGGTGCCAGGGCAGGGACCAGCCCATGTAGACATAAAAGAAACATTGCGTTGAACTGAAAAAGGATCAACGTTTCATTACCAAATTTTCAGTAGTAGCGAGTTACACTATTTTTACCTGATAAAAAAATAAATAAATAAAGTTTCTTTGTAACACATTACACCCAACACTGGCTGGAGACCACAGGCCTAAATACTCACCCCACACGAGTTTGTATCTTGTGTCTCTGTGTCCATCATTCTATTTGCCCCCAACACATAGTTTTATTGGCTGGTGCAGTCATGATGTTTATGAAATTGTTTTTATGGAATTTCAAACCAAAATCTTCCACACGGTTCCTTTTAAGAACTCATAAACATCTAACCTTCGTCCTTTAAGCTAAAGCGAGGCTCCTAACTACATCTCCTGCGTGTACATCCAGACCTGATGCTCATGTCTTCTTGGGTTGTCAGAGGTAAATGAAGCACACAATCCACCTGAACATGCTCCATCTATTTCCTGTCTGTCTGAGGCATCATGTGACCAGTCATGTGACGCCTTCTTTCTCCCTCCTCCTATTGTCCTGTTTTATTTCATTCTCCTCTTCCATCTGGATCCGTCCATCTCCTTCTCCGTCGTCCTTTAAAGTGTCGCGTGAGGAGATGAGGCATGGAGAGCTGTCTGAGGTCTGAGCAGCTCTGTGACCGACTGAAATATGGAGAAGGTACAACAGTGGATTTGACTTGGTTTTGTCGGTTACGTCAACCTCAGTCAGAGCCGTTCACCATTTTATTACAGTGTTCCCTCGCCATTCACTTACTGCACTTAAATACTGCCACTGAGGCTTTAGTGCTCTGATTGAAACATCTGTTTTCACCTAACCCCTATCTCCGCCCACTGCTCTGTACTTACTCAAAACAATCCAGAAGCAGTATTAAAGATCATATATTACACAACACTGAGAGTGTATACATGCACATCAGTATCCCAGTTATTATATGGGTCCAGTCAAGCAGTAACGGAGGGAAACGGGCAGATTTTTGACATTGAAATGTCTCTTATTCAGAAACTAGAGGGACTATTGAAATAAGTAAAGTATCAGAATGTAGGAAAGAGTTACACTCCAACAGGGTCAAGTTAAACCTGTGATATTCTTTCAAGTTGTTGACAAAAAATTTAAAAACTCATGTTGGTAACGGAGGGAATGAAATATGCAGCACTTTTTGGGCAATAAATCCAAACAGTGATAACTCTTGGTTCTCACTTCCATATCCTTAACAAACTGGTTTGAATATTTGCTTCATATAGTTTTCTACCATATGGTACAAGATTAGGTTGAAAAACCTCTTACTTTTTGAGTCATGAGATTTTTTATTAAGAAAGGTCATGGTAACGGAGGGAAAAACAAAGAGGAAAATTTGTGCAAACAAGTAGAAGGTGCAGGATTTACATCATTTGTCACTTTTTTTCTTCTGAAAACTTTAATATTACTTCAAAATGAAAGGAAACTATTTCTATAAATATGTCAGTCCTTCCAAGCAAATTTTTATCATTTTCAATACTTTAAAAAAAACAAAAATCATGTCCTTCTTCATCAACAGTTCAAAGATGGAATAACAACAAGATGAAATATACATCCATTTATTGACATGATTTGCAGGTCTTTGAAATTTGGGAAATAATTTTTGTTCCATGTTTCATACATGGTCTGTTTAAAACATATGGAACTTTAGAACCAAAAATGGTACAGAAAAAAGGTCAACAGTTTCATAAACTAGAGTACATATGTATCTGTTCAATACATTTTTATATCAGATGCAATTAACTTGAATTTTTGGCCTTGTTGTTTACTTCTGCTTGACCGGCCCATTTACATGATCAAATAGAGTATCCCACTTTCTTGACGTAATCTTACAAATTTAATTTAATAAACCAGGAAAAATACAAATAACCACGAGCTCCTTTATCACAAGAAGCTAAGGAGGTTCCTCACCAGCGGTAAGGAGCTATGACTTTTAATTAAAATCTTTCTTCCTTCTTCCATTTCTCTCTTTATCTCTTCTTCACCTCTCCCTCTCTCTCCTCCCTTACTGCCCAGCGCTCCCTATCTCTGTCCCTTTCTCTCCTCCTTATTTCTTCCTGCACCGCTCCCTCTCTCCTTTCTCTCTCTCTCCCTTTTTCCATCTGTCCTCTCATTCTCTCTTTCTTCTCTCCACCACCGTTTCTCTCCTCCTTATGTCTTTCTCTCTTCCTCACCGCTCCCATTATTTCCCTCTCTTTCTTTCTTTCTTTCTTTCTTTCTTCCTTCTCCTCTTTCTCTTCTTGAAAACTACCACTTCATGACATCACAAGGTGGACCAGAGCATTTTGAGTTTTGGAGATGTAGAAATAATAATAAAGTTTTACTCAGACACGTGTGAATGAAACAAAACACAACTCCAGGTTTGTTTTTGAGGAGGAAACGACATTAGAACATGATTTAAAGCTCACAAGAGTCCATTTTGTGTAATATAAAAACTTTAAACAACGTGATTTAGAAAAAAAAGACTTGTAACTGCGACTTCTCTGACATAGTTTCACTTTCAGAAACAGGTCCAAATTAGGATTACAGTGTGTCCTATATTCCTGCGCAGTCATCACTGTACAACACTTTCACATGTCCCACATACGACTCGTGAGATTCTGTTTTTCGTCATAATCCCGCTTTAATCCGGGTTTACAGGGACAGATCTGATAAATATTGACTAAATATAGACAATGTCCCCAATGCAACTCAGCCACAAAAGGATTAGCGCATGGGGAAAGCAGGTACACCGAAGAGAAAACGAGAAATCTGAGCCACTGGTGTTAAAAGTTCCACTATGTAACTTGTCTGCTGGTCTGTTATTGCGTAAAGGTTCTATATTACACATTCTTGACTCTTTTGAGCTTTAAACCATGTTAGAATGTTGTTACCTTCTTCAAAACAGACCTGGACTTGTGTTTCATTTCATTCACTCGTGTTTGAGTGAAACTTTATTATTAGGCCCCGTCCACACTAGTACGTATTCGAGTCATCCACACTAATCCGATGGAAAATGGCTCCAGAGACGGAACTATCTGTTGCCGTCAGCTCCCACGAATTCATCTGAGTATGGATCTGATCTGGCACCATGTGGACTCGCTAAGAGACTAGAATATATGTCCATTCATATATACGGTCTGTGTGTACGACCTGCAGACGTATAATCTTTGAAAAGTTTCACATGAACCATCTCCAACGTGACAGAAACACAGAACAGACTCACCATCAGCAGAACACCCCTCTGTCACAGAAAGAACACTCATATTCCACTGAGTCGTGTCCTTCAGCCTGACAAAAGCTGAACCACATCAGCGCACAATAGCAATCTGTTTTTTGAGAGCTTAGTTTATGAGTCATGTGATTTTAAGTTTGATTTCTGTAAAACGTAAACAAATATGCTCAAAGCTGTGTGGATAGGGAAGACTTGCAGACACAGAAACAACATGCTTGGGCATAAAAAGTTTCCGATACGGAGATACGGTGATTCGTTTCAGTGTAAACGTAACCTTTGTCTGTCTACATCTCCAAAACTTGAAATGCTCTGTTCCACCTTGTGATGTCATGAACAGTGATGGGAATAAAGGCTTTAAAATAAACACTGTTATTAACACCAGTACTTTTTTCAGTAACAGGTAATCTAACTTTTATGTTTCTATTGTTATAACACTGTTACCGTTACCAACACGCCGTTACTACGCGTTACTGAAGCTACTCATTGAAGCTGTCATCTGACTTGACTGTCACTCATACGAGGGAAAAAGTGAATAAAATCCACTCCAAAACACACAGTGAATCAGTGCTTAGAGAATGTGGACAGTGACGTAAGTTTTGCAGCCTCTCGTCTCCATGTGTTGTCACTCCTCTGTGCTGTTATCATATCCAAAAACTCACAGAGGAGTGCGTATGGCTGCAGGACTCATATGTGCCTCACTGTTTAATAGATATATATTTAATATTATATAGATATTTCTGCCACGGGACTTATTTCCTCCACTAAAAGTGATAGATCTACAGCGCAACATGTAAACAAACAGAGCTGTGTGATATCACATAACACTTTTACCTTAAATTCAGTAGAGATTGGCAAATCCAGGGTTGAAATCACCCAAATGATAGTGAAAGTGTATACAGTTTAAAAACACAGTGGAGCACTTCTTGTATTACCACATGACAAGAGGGAACAGAATATTTTAAGAGAAGAACTCAGGGTTTGTACTGTATGTGTGAATGAAACAAAACACAACTCCAGGTCTGTTTGTGATGAGGAAACTTCATTATAACATAGATCAGAAAATAGTGTAATACAACAATATTTAAAGATTTGCCTAGAATGTTCCATAGTCTAGCATTAAATTAATCTTGCATTTATTAATTATGGGTGTTTTTATTGCTTAAAGAAACTCCTTGATAAACATGCATTCTGGTGCATGAGTGACGTGACTCTGGGGGTGCGTTCAGGGGCAGTACGGCATCTCACACACAGACAAATTGCTCTGCAGATAAATACTGATGCTGTGCCACATTATAGGACATTTATCTGTCTGTAAATTGGATTAAATGGAACATAAGATAGTCTAAGTTTTATAGCGAGGTATACCATGTCCATGTGGACTATAGGCCCAGATTGACAAGATTTAGGCCGATAGCCGATATGTCTCCAAGTGCCCATATCTACAGAAGCCCAGAGGGCTCACAACAAACACAAATACAAATGCGACACCACAACAAAAAGCCACAACAAACCAAAAAAAGTCACAACAAACCAAAAAAAGCCACAACATAAATGACTGCGGGACTCTATTTTAATGCAAACGCCACAACAAATACAAACGCCACAACACAAACGCAAAAGCCACAGCACATTAAAAAGCCACAACGGAAGTAACTGCGGGAC